TAATTTGACATTTGGATATGAAGCTTTCAGATCAATTAATTATTTATATATTATGATACCTTTGTGTGTTTTCTTTGGTGTCGAAAGAGGCATCAATATGTGGATGTCATGCTTTTGACATCATATTGAATTGCATTTTTGATGTGTTTTTGACATGTTTTTTTATGTTGTTTTATTTCAAGGCGTACGCTGGGAAAGCAGCATCACCACCTTCTGGCCTGACATGAATAATACAACATTTTTAATTGTATTTACCTACAGTATTTGTGAGTACAAGGGAAACGTTTTGACAAGGTTGTTGCCTGTATTTGAAACATTTCAAAATACAATGGAAAACTTTTCCATTTCAGCGCATGGTTGTTGTGTAAACATGCCCTAAATTCTCGGACCAGCAAACTTAAACATGAGCCTTATTTCTGCAATATGCTTGGAGACTGAAGACCTTTTGAAAGGCACGCTCTAAAATAACACAACAGCAGGTTGATTAGCTCCCATGTTCGGTCCACGCTTCATACATGGCACTGACAATCCTCATTGTCTTGTTTTTCGGTATGATGAAAGCATTCTTCTGACAATCCCTCATTGAAAACAAATCCAGAGTCTAGCAGCAGTAGCTTATCCGTCCCAGTGCTTGAGATTACACAGACAATGTCTTGTGCCTTTTTAATGCACATGTATTTTGATCAGGAGATTGTCAGCTTTTTGTCATGCAAAGCATACTGAATGACAGTGAGTTAGTCACTGGGGATAAAAGGGGATTAGAAGCAGTTTGCACTTTCCTTTATGTTCATTGTTTTGATTGTAATCTGTTTATTGGTTAATTATATCTCATATCTGATATATTCCTGTAGCATGATCTGTGAATGTCCCCAATCCTCACTTTGTCTGAATGTAGAATTTTAACATTTATTTTTTAAATGCAGGTAAAGCATAATCAGATACACAAACTGCTGGCACACTGATAATGAGTTTTTCCTAGCTGTCCCATCTGAGGGAGATGATCACCGCCACAACTTGCCAAATGCATATCAAATGTTCCAAATTGAGGTTTCTGTTTTGCAGCTGGCAGCTTTCTGTGTCGCTTCCCACAGAGCCGATTTAATTGGATGTATATAGGGCTGGCATTTTCAAAGACTTTTATGCATTAATTGCTTTTTTAATGGCAATGTGTGAGCAGCTTGTAATGAAACTTAAATAAATAAATAAAAGGCCAGCCTTTCTAGGTTGTCTAAGAAACTGAATGCTTAAAGTGTTCAAATCATAGTGTCTGCCACATCTATGTAGCCTTTGGTCTCAAATATACGCTGTATAATCATACCAGTGTAATTGTATGTGGTAATTTGGTGAATTGTAGACCTTATGCAAACATACATCACATTGATTAGATGCTTTCCTTAGTGCTGTGTGTGTGTTACATTTATAAAATAAAATGTTTAAACCAACTTTAATCCAGCTGTTAAGCTGTGTTCACACCAGACGCAGTGCGCACGGATAAATCGCGCTATTTGCACATAAACAGGCACTTTAGGAAGACTGAAAACAGCGCCGATTCATTTGGAGCCGTGCATGAGTCCACTAGATCCATTTAGAGGTGCACCCAGCTCTGTGAGCTCATAAACTCCTCCTGAAAATATATAGATGATGGAAGCTTCTGAGCCAAGCCAAGTTTAATAACTGTTGTTGTTGTAGGCAGAAGGATTTTCCCTCTGGACACCAACAACAGTGCTACGTCATAATCATGACCCTACAAGAGCAGGCTCCTGATTGGTTAAAGCAGCGTGAATGTCTGTTGTAGTTCGGATTTTCAAATGCTATCGATTCACGCGAAACACGTGCGTAATGCTGCGTTCACACCAGACGCGGAAGAAGCATCAAGCACAAGTTATTTACATGTTAAGTCATTGCGAAGACATGAATAGACATCCATATGGGCGAATGAGGCGGCACAAATGACGCAATTCGCATGAATAAAGCGGCGCAAGTTTAACGTTTTGCGCGATTAACGCACTCAATGCATGTATCACGTGTTCTGTGTGGAGTTTGCATGTGCTCCCTGTGTTGGCTTGTGACATCCTGTCTGGTTTCCCCCACAGTTCAAGACATGCACTATAGGTGATGTATGTGTGTGAATGCGAGTGTTTATGGGTGTTTCCCAGTGATGGATTGCAGCTGGAAGGAGATCTGCTGTGTAAAACATATGCTGTATAAGTTGGTGCTTCATTCTGCTGTGGCGACCCCTGATGAATTAAGGGACTAAGCCGAAGGAAAATGCATGAAAGAATGAATGTTTCAGTCAATCCTTTCTTATACGATTCTTCAAAATGCTCATGAATGCAGGGTGATGGAAACCTAGTTCCTGTGCCCACACTTTTTTTCATAACTAATGTTTCGCTGCGTCTTTAGTAAATTGAGTACGGAGTAAAAGAGGCTTAGTGTTGGCGAAAGCTTTTAATAAATCTGGCCTCATGTGTAAAACAGCCCCACTGTACCAATTGCAACTAATTAGTGGCTTTTGTTGCTAGCTGATTTTGTGGCATTTTATTACAAGGATTCTGCTATAATTAATGCACAGTGGATTATGTACATCAAACCATGTATGTTGTTGTGTTTCTCTGTCCAAAAGTGGATTCTGCTGTGTTCTCTAGAGGTTTATTTCTTTCTTTGATGTCCTAATGTTCCCCAAGGATGACAAGGTTCCTACAAATGAGAGTAACATTTTCAGGGGTGAAGAAGTTGATGTTTTATTTATGACTCATCTCTCTAATTGTGAGGCAAATCATCCCTTGGGAGATGTGTTAGTGAAAAAAGCAGACGGTAACAAACAGTACACAACAATAAGATAATAGTTTTTTTTACTAAAAAGAGTTACTGCTTTTTTTTAGTTTTTGATACACTGTAAAAACTTTATGATCAGTTATTCCTGACAACATATGTGTTTAGGTCATTGTAACTTATTAAACGAAGTTAATCATGTTCTAACTTAATTTTATAAGTTATACAAGCTGTTTTTAAGTCAGTTTAACATATTATAAGTTCAATGGACTCATAAGGTTGCTGCTACAGCAAAGCACGCAGCATCCTGAAGGACTCATCCCATCCAGCATACCATCTATTTCAAATGTTTCCTTCGGGGAGATGATACAGGACCATGAAAGCCAAAACAAACAGACTTAAATATAGTACATATCCAAGGGCTGTTGCAATCATGAATGGACATTAAATTGAGGGTGTATCTGGCCAAAATCATTTTAAAATTACTCACTTTTTAACTTGCTGCTAGGAAATGCACTTGCCACTTTATACGCTTGGAAATTAAATTGTATGCCTTTCTGGCCCTCATTTTATTCACTTTTAAATTTAAAACGCTGCTAGAAAATGGACTTTCCACTTTATACACACATTATACACACTTTTAGTATTGTATTGTTACTCCTTTTATGATTAATTATTGTTGGCATTTTATCTTTTTATCTCTTTTTATTATTGTTGTTGTTTTAGATAAATAGAACTACACTTAAGTAAAGGACAAACGTAAATTTTGTTGTATTTTGTACAATGACAATAAAGTTTCTGATTCTGATTCTGAAGGCTAATTTGATTCAGCTTAAACAATTAAGGCAACCATGATTTTTTTTTACAGTGTAGGAACCAAAATATGTAGAGTGAGACATCTGGATGACTTTTCATGCTTGGTTTAGTCGGAGGCAAATTTACAGTCCTTGCCTCGTAATACTGGGAATATTACGGGAGGTGCTGTTTTTAAAATTCCATTCCTTTCTATTCATCTTCTGTTGTGACATCAGCTCTCAAAAAAACTGAAAGGCAGAAAGGTCATGCTTTTGATAAGCCTGACATAGACATTACATGTATTTAGAAAAGTGCGAGGAGGATCTTAAACGCTATTAAGAAAACGTCATTGTGTGTCCGTTGAGTAAAGGATTTCCCAGCTGGTATTTCAGCCAGTGATAAGACAGACAGGACTACATCTGTTATTTTCCTCCTCCGCTTTACACAGCATGATTACCTCATGATGATCTTGCTCATGTCTTTCTTCACAAAAGAAAACAACAACACACAAACTGGGTGCAGATATCAGCTCTATTAAGTCTGAAGTTGTCCAGGCCTGAGAGAATTCTCGATTTGTACTCGCTGAATCTGCAAGGAAAACGGTTCCAAAACACATTAGATAAGTCCATGAAATTTTACTTAAAATAAATCAGATCACAATATTTTATGTTGCAACATCTATGAAAATAAGATAAGGTCGAGGCGTTCCAAGTTTTCCAGTGCATGCAGATATAAGTAATTTCCTGTTGATTAATTCATTGGCCGCTTGAGATCCATGAAGTGCTCATTTCCTTTGCTTGTTTTGCAGTAATCGGTGGTCTCATCTCTGGCTTTGTGTATTTTAAGTGTTGCCGAGTAGCACTGATTACTGGAGGAATGAAGCTTCAGATTTAGCAGTTTTTGACCTACAGTGCTTAGCATTTATACGTACACCCCTCACAAATCTCTCTTTTAAATTCATATCTTTGTTAGGAAGCTGTACAATTTTATATTTGTGCATAAACATTAGATTAGTTAGTACTGAAGCCAAATCTGGAGCTTATCTAACAAAATAACTTATGATAACAATCCAATAACTAATACACCCAAATTTATATGTAATAGAAAAATATAAAATACAAATTTTAAAAAGAGGAAAATCAAGAGAAGAAAAAACTTTGAAGAATTTAGTTAAAATTTTGTAGGTTGTAATTATTATTATTTTTTTTTTTTGCAATATTTTGCTTGAATTTAAATATATTATCTTTCAATTTCTAAATATGTTTGGTGACAAATGTTATTTTAATAAATATATCTGTTTAAGAAATCAGTTTTGTTGAAATGCACCAAAATACATTACCTACATTCACTGAGAAATGGATAAAAATATTCATTTTTAAAATGGATGCTAAGCACTGCATGCATTCAATGCTCTTTTGTCCTTTATTTTGCAGGAAACATATCAAAGAGCTGCACTGCTGATGGCTGGACGGAAATAAACTCGGTTGTGGTTGCGTATAACTGTGGATATGACCCTAATATCACTGAGGATGGAAACATGGTGTGTATGATTGCTTCAGTTGACACTATATATATATTTGACCCCCATGAGGGTTCATCCCATTGCCAAATATATTGGAAAAAAATATATAGATCAATCAGTGTGGCCTGAAACAGAGGCAGATCCAGCTTCTATAAAGGCAATTTTAATGTGCAAAATACACATTTTCTTGTAAATCGGGTGTTTGAGTCTACAAAAACCTAAAAGTAAAGTCCAATTAGACTCATGGTGTGAGGATTAAAAGACGCACATTAATGCTCACACATAAATTATTCAGTAAACAGTAAGTCTGATCCTTTTATCAGTGTAGGGATGCAAACTTGTCACTGTTCTGCAAAATTGTTGTTTAATAATAAAAATAGGTCGTCATTTAAAATTGTTTTATTGAAATAGCCTATCAGAACTTACTATGTAGCTTGGAATGCACTCAAAATCAATAACAAATACTGAAAATAAGTTTGATTAAATGAGATATGATTAATGTACTGTATGTAATATATTAATTTGGTTCAGTGAGGCATGCTTGCATGATATACTTCGCAAATTACTGAAAAAGTAGTCAATGTATCATTTGCCATATACAGTACATATAATATATATAGAATTCACACTACAATGTCATAAAAAAATGTGCACTTCGAATTTTCACATTTTCGAAAGTTGCATTTTCAGATTGTAGTGCTTCAATAGTAGGGGTGTGACAAGACGCTTACCCCACGAGATACAAGACTGGATTCACTTGTGCGCACGCAAGCTTAGAGATGTGTGCGTCTGTCGTATTTTACTGACTCGGTAGGACTTATCCTGTCGCAAAATGCAGCTAAAAGTCCTTCATGATTGTAATAGTTTGATTGCGATGTCTGTACTGCACTTTAATAATGCGATTGAAATAGGAATACTCCACATGTCTCAATTCCAAGTGTGTTTACGATTATGACTTTGGGCATATCGAAAATGCTATTCCATCACATGGTTATGAAGCATGGTTAATGTGTCCGGCTGCAGTTGTAGAAAACGAGGGACGCGCAACTCAGAGGCAGCCTGGGTTGCCAGGTGTGTAAAGCACTTAATGTGTGCCATAAAGAAATCCAATCCTGCCTCCAATCTTCAGTGCTAATTTCACCCTCATGCTCCATTATAACATCACAACTCACGAGGCACCTCGTCACTTTTCACCTCAACATGAAATCTTGTTGCGATTTAATCTCACGAGATCTCATCATACGAGATCTTGTTGCATCCCTATTTAATAGCATAAAAAATTATTTTAAAAGCATAAAACTCATTTGCTGTTTAATAAAGAATGACTAAAGAATAAAAGAAAACTTATTTCATTAGCGTTAAGCACTCGGAAGTGTTCAAACATAGGAAATGATTTTATAACCAGTCATCATCAGAGCGCACTTCCCCATGCAGTACATTCAGCATCTAATTCATATCTCAACCACATTCTCAAAAACATTGTTTCCAATGTTTCCAAAATCGGCTTATTCACCATCAAATGACATTAATGCTTTTTACTGGATTGTTTACAGACGCTACTCTGCAGTAAACAGGGATGGGCAGTATTTATGATACATGTATTTCAAATACGTATTTCAAATACAAAACAGTGTTTTAAAATTTGTCTTTGATAGAGTTGATGGAAATGGCTTAATATTTTGTATCAAAATAGTTTAGCGTTTTGTATTTTTGTAGTTTCAAAATATTGTAAAATACTTTACAAGAAGTCTACAGACATCTTCAAAATAAGGCCACTGATTGCTGTCTCTACGGTGGCCGAGAGAGCTTAAAGTGGGGCAATTTAAGAAAGCACATGCAATTACAAAAAACACCAGCTTCAAGAGTTCACACTTAGATATTGCTTGACAGCTGTAAGCAGGTTTGGCATGCTGTCCCGGGAGAGAACCCTGAGCTCGGAGATAGTTGAGCCCAGGGCTCCCGCCAGGTCTATAGAGCATGTGAGGGGAGTACGAGATCAGGTGGTTCTCGAGAGCTCCCCTTTTTGTAAAGGAGAAAAGGAGGAGAAAGGGGTGGATGGGGGGTTTCTTTGGAAAACGAAGATAAGGGAGTAATGTCTAGCTAGGCTACTTATAGTGGGTTAGGATAGATCTGATTGGCTAACTAATGAGTGTAGATAGGTGGCCAGCTGCTGTCAATTATATCACATGCTCCTCTCGAAATTAGTTTAAAAACTTCACAAAAAAAGAAACGATCTTCATCAATTTGACAGCACACTAGTTGCAAATTGGTCATGACACAAACAACTGGAGAAATGCCCTGCAAATTGGTCACAACACTTGCAAATATCCACGTAACACAACAGAAATGTTTCAAGAGAACCCAAAAACATGACGGACACTGTTAAGATATGGATGTGTTATTATCATAGTACAGTATGTGTTGTTATGGTTTATTATGTCATGTAATTAGGATATTAAAATAAACTAAAACAACTCACCTTTTAAAGTCCACCAATCACTTCATTGAGCAGTCTCGGCATAATAACACATCCATATCTCTATTTATTTTTCGTCCCGATGAGTGGTTTAAGAAATATTGAATGTATTATTGTAGGTTAAACCAGGCATCCAGAATAATCAACACTGACCTTTTATTCCTGATTCCAGTTTTATATATTCATGGTTGTGTTTCTAAGTGTAGATCAGCTCTTTTTTGTTTTCTCCTTGTAGGGTGAATTTCTGAGCTCTGTGAGAACTGGATACACTATTGGTCACACTGTGTCTCTTATATCCCTCATTATCGCCATCATCATCCTGTGCTTCTTCAGGTAAATCCTCAATGCCAGATTCAACACATACCACTGTCTGGTGTTAAAGAACAGGACCTTGTTTTTTATGGTTTCGAACATGGAAGAAACTCCCAAATAACTCATATTTGATATTTTTGTTGCCCTCAGCAGATTTCCACATTTTATGTGATTGAGCAATGAATCAATATTTTGTTAAATGATAGTGCTGTCAAGCCGATGACCTTCCTCAAAATGTCCCATTTTATATCACATTTAAAATTACATTGCAAAAGGCCACTGATTCAGGCATTTGATAGGGTTTGCACAGTTTTCATTATTACACAACCTTCCAAACTAAAGTGATTTGTACCTCCATCATAAGGCTTTGAAGTGCACAAGCTTCTCAGTAGTAAATTAACCTCAGGGAACGCTCCCCTCAGTGACCTTAGAGGTCAAACTAGATCTCATGTGTATTGAACAGCTTCCTCTTTTGGCTGACATTACCCTTAATTAAACAGGAACACGGTTCTTGAGAGTCTTGATATGTTTAAGCTTTCACGCACATAGCACAGTATACAAGTTTCCTACTCAGCTTTGAAGGGTAAAAGACGAGAGCTGAACAGCACAGCACAAATGCTCAGTCCCTGGAGTGCGAAATCACAATATTCAAATGTAATGAACTGGGAATGGGATTCATCTACATGAAGCTCTGGAAGAAATTAGGAGACCACTTCAGTGTTATTATCACCTCTTTGGGTTTGCCATTGAAAAAGGATGTGGTTTGAATGAAATGTTCAGTTTTGTTTTATGCTATAAGCTACTAAAAATGTTTTTAAAATTTCAATTAAGAAGAGCATATATTTGTAGAAAATGACAATTGGTCTGGGGTGCATTTCCGAAAACCATCGTTAGCCAACTAAGGTCGCAAGTTCCGTTGTTACAAACATACTTTGTTGATTTGGTGTACACCTCTGGAGCTGTAGTTATAAACGTAGTTCCTGGCTGTGTTCTATTCCCACCTATTCCCCCTATGCCCTATTCGTTAAAGCATTCTAACATTTAAATTTGGAATGATTAAAAATGAGAAGCATTAAAGTCATCTCTCTTAGGTGTAATTTGCTATCAACGTATTTTTACAGTTCAGTTTTAGCAATCCTCATGTTTACAGTTGTGCTGCTTTCACCGTACACTTTAAAAACATTGATGTCATTTTGAAAATCACCTCATGACTAAAGCTATAGGTGACCTTTCATTTAAAAGCGGTATTTATGTTATGTCTCCAAAGCTTGTGAAAACAAAAAACATAGCATACGTTAATGCTTTTAATTTATAAGTTGTTTATTAAGTATCTGTACTGTATATGACATGGGCCTGTTGGTTAGAACTTTCTGCAGTGGTTTGCATGCGTCAAATTGTAAAAGTAGACTTTTCCAAAAAAATAAATAAATAAATAAATAAACAATATCCTTCTTAATAATAATAATAATAATCATCATCATCATCATCATCATTAATTTTATTAATATTATTATTGTAGTAGGATTTTTTCATTAAATTAGATATTAAATTTATTTTTTTAATAGCCTCATTATATATTTATATGATTTATATATGATATTAGAATACCTGTTAGCTTTTTGTGAATGATTTTATGTTTTAGAATATGTAAGGTTCTCAATATTATTTGTAAAGGAAACACAGGCCCTATATGTGTCGTTAATATATATTTCAATTAATATGGAAAGCGACTGCATGTTTTTACCAAAACTAATATTGTATTTTTTTATGTGTGTTTGTGCAAAACAATTTAATTTGCACAAAGAAATTATGGTGTTCTTCTCTAAAGAAATAGTTACTCCAGCTGTTTAGAGCATCATTATGGGTGTTTTAGGTTATAACTAACGTGGTTCAAATGATGGATCTGCGACAGACAAACTATGGGTTTTGGGAAACATTCGTCACTACATCGTTCTTTTCCCAACCGATGCATCGTACTATGATAGTTCAGCCGCGGGTTACATTGTTTGGGAAACGCACCCCTGAATAATATTTCGATTTGTTGTCATTGTCAAATCAGGGCGGTTCCATGAATGCTTTGCTCTCCTGAAGTAAGAACTTTTGTGTTATCAAAAAATGTATATAAGCATGTCTGAAAACATGTCTGCCCAATTGCCATTAATACAAATTAAATAAATGTCACCTGTAGATTGCACAACCCTCCGAATAAGAAATTAAAATTATTAAACTAAAATTAGAATTAAAAAAAGAATTCAACTTAATTCAAAAAATTTAATTTAAGTAAAAGATGATTTTAGTTGTAAACATAATTATACAGTAAATTGTAATTCCAGAGACTTTACGAGTTTTCCAGTGGTCTTAATATATGCCCAATATAAAACATTTCAAAAACCCACTAGACCAGTGTTTATATTTTGCTGACTTCTGTACTTACATTATCCTAAATATTTTGAAGAATGTTCAAATCCAGAGAAATAAGCCATTTTAACTAGTGACATGGACTGTGTCCTGTGTGGCTATGATAAACCCTCGATTTTTGCTTTGGATTATAGAAAACAGAGAAACAACAAACATGCTTTAATATGTCCTGCTTTTATTAGACTGCACAGAGCAGAATTAAAGAAAAACAGTGCTGCTTTATCCCCACAGGATCAGCAGAAGAACCGGACTTGTCAACTGCGTGTGTCATAATAAAAGCTCAGCTTTTTTTAATGCCATTTCACGCTTGTCTCTCATCAGCAATTGCTTCATCAGTCTCATTTCAGTATGATGGCTTTCAGCCTTACTTTGCTTTTTAGTACCATGATGCTTTTACTTTCATCCATGAATATTTAGGATCGGGGCGGACTTAAGGGTGGGGGGGGGTGGGGTAGGGTTGGTTGGGGGGGCTGACCAATGCCAAGAAGCCTATAATAATAATCATATAGCTCTTTTATACATTTTCTATCATATTTTGTAAAATATGTCTAACTATTTAAGACTTTAACGTTATTACTTCTTTTCAAAACCGGGGCCCCCATAAATAATAGAACATTCTGTCCGTATTGCACATGGGCAAGATGTGAGTGAGCGCTTCAGTCAAACACACTGTCACCCAGTGTTTCCAACTGAGCGACTTTTCAGACCCCCTAGCTCCAAATCTTCAAAAAAGCGAATAGCGAATGTTTTAGGTGTTACTTGAGTTTTTTAGAGACCCTCATGTGTCTGTGCTGTATCGTTCCTAATGTTACTTTTCGCAACGAGCTGCGGGAGATTCAGAGCACTCAAAGGCGAAACACACCTGCAGCATTAAGAGCATATCATTCCTCTGCATACCGACGGCAAATGTTTCAGCACCAGAGCATGAGGTATTTCCCTGGTACAATCAAACCTATCTGCTTCTCCTCTGTTTTAAATGTAATAATTTAAATGGATTGTTTATTGTTCAGAATCACAGATTTTAGTAACACCAGTCTGCCAGCGATTAGAGTTGCAAGAGTGAGAATGTTTTGGGAAAACATTTGGAAAAAAAGTAGAAATACGACAAACAACGAATGCAATCCTGCTGTGTTGCCGAAACAGTTGTCAGAATCAGATGATGAGCGCAGTAAGCTTGTTAAGAGAGGGCCTGTTCCAATTAAACTAGCATTTTTCAGTAAAATGGCTGCCAATTCACAAACAGCAATTACTCAATTCAAATGAAAAAATGGTGAAAATATTAGTTTAATAATATTAAAATCTAATCACAAACATTACTAATTGACTATACATTGTAGTGCCCAAACTCTGAGGGCCTTTGTCCTGCAAAGTTTAGTTTAAGCCAAGTTAAGTTTAGTTCAAGCTCTTTCTAAGCTTTCTAGAAAGTTCTGTGCAGGTGTGTTGAGACCTTGGAGCTGGAGCTAAAATCTGCTGGACAACAGCCCTCCAGGAGTTTAGACACCCCTTTGTGAACTTGTTTTTTATTTTATTTGTAAATTTATAGTTTTTTTTTTTATTTTACATTAGAAAGATAAAGTTATATATATATATATATTAAAATATATTCAATACATACATTTTTAACATTCAGTTTATTTTTCAAAAATCCTAAGGCCTTATACCTGGAATTGCTTAAGGCCCCCAAATCCCTAAATCCACCTCTGTTTAGGATGTAATAAAAACAACAACTGACATAATTTCAGTCACAGTCATCAAAATTTGACTTTGTTTGTTGTGAATACGATCCCTCTAGTGGCAAAAAACACATACTGTGCACATACTGTGTTCATATGTCTGAATTGCCTATTGTCATTTTTTGTTTTTTAAATAAATGCTATTCTTATTTCAAAAATGTAAACATTTTCAATAGTTTATAGAGTAAAACAAATGAACAAACAATCTTATTCAAAACACATACATATTATTGAAAAATCCAGTGAACCAATAATAACTTTAAGTGGTCTCTTTATTTTTTTCATCAGCTGTATTTGCAGGGTCTCTAGCACTTGGTTAACTGTCTATTTGTGTATGGTTTATTATATTAAATCAATCCACTGATTCCTTTTCTCTCTTTGCTCTTCAGAAAACTCCACTGCACAAGAAACTACATCCATATTCACTTGTTCATGTCCTTTATTCTGAAGGCGGTGGCAGTAATCATGAAGGATGTAGTTCTGTACGAGGTGGAGGAACCTGATGACTGCCACTATGGATCTGTAAGTGCTTTTTAAGTAAGGTATAGTGTACAGTCAGCAGGTAATGGCGGTGATATCCAGCTGACTGCACATTAATCCCACTTATTATTGACTAATATTACCTGCACTTTACAGTATATTTATCTTAAAGCTTTCACTAGGAAAATAGCCCATTATGATGTCCAAAACAGTTGGTTTTCTCCAGGTGCTCCAGTTTCTCCTAGTCCAAAGACATGCGATACAGATGAATTAAATAAGCTAAACTGGCCGTAATATATAGTGTGATTGCAAGAGTGTATGGGTGTTTTCTAGGGCTGGGTTGCAGCTGGAAGGGCATTCACTGCATAATAACATACTGTATGCTTGATAAGTTAGTGGTTCATTCCCCTGTGGCAACCTCTGATTAATAAAGGTACTAAGCCAAAAAGAAAATGGATGAATGAATGCATTATAATGGACAATGTTGAATGTAAGAAAGTATAGTGGCTTAGTGCCTGCCCACCAGATTTATTTGCAGAATCATTGGTAATATAGTTTATTCAGCCTATTCTCACAAGGAAACAGTCATACCAAAATTGTTCAGTCATACCAAAGCTGACCATTTTTAAAAGAAGGGTTGGCAGCAAACCTCACTCCTAAACCCAACCGTCATTGGTGGATTAGCAAATCATACATAAATGTATAAATAAGATCATACACATTCATACGAATTAAAAACTAAATCAAAAAGTTATGAACTGGCATGAGATAGCATTGGTTTATCAACTATCGACCACAATCACCTCTTATCCAAACCTGATGTACATAAAAAATAACAATAATTAAAATATAGAAAACCCTAAAAAATTTTACCCAAGTCCAATGATCCCACGGCGTAAAAAAAAAAAAAAAAAAAAAAAATATATATATATATATATATATATATATATATATATATATATATATATATATATATGTATATGTATATATATATATATATATATATATATATATATATATATATATATGTGTGTGTGTGTGTGTGTGTGTGTGTATATATATATATATATATATATTATTACTGCCTGCTTGATGGATACAAGCTATTTCTGGATTTTGGCTTTCAATTGTCACCAGTGGATCAAGAAAAAATAGTAAATTAATATGATAGCTTATAATAAATCATCAATTTGCTATTGTTGTTATTTACCTCATCTACAGCAAAGAGCTTCTGCATACAAAAGGAAGGAAGAAATAACAACCATGAGCACACAGCATTATGAAATGAGTGAGTGGCTTTTCTGATGGATCTCATATAAGATTGATTTTTAACCCGAGGACACTAATATCAAACCTGAACCATCTTTCGAGACGCTACTTGAAGTTTTGAACATTAATGTGCTCAGGTCAGACCTTGAGCTTTTATATCCAGTGAACCCATGATGTCTTCTATATCTAATTTTAAACAGTTTAAAAAAAAAAAAAAAAAAAAAGATGACAGAATATGAATCTTGAACAAAAGCATAAACATGATTAACAACTTCATATAGCTCACAGAAGGTCTATCTTTAATAGTTTTAAGTTATCGTTTCCAAAAAATTTCCCTGTGGAGCAGATTAATAGAATTATTAAGTCCTGATTGTTTAAAGCTCTAGCAATGAATTCTGCCATTAAGCAGTCAGAATCAGTTTATTACAGTACATGTTATAAACTTGAACAGTCTATTTCAAGGACATTTTTTTTCTGAAGCAAAGACAAATGTCCACTTCTGTGATTGGTTAAATTCATCACACTTTCCTTTACTTCATGTCTTTTTTTATACCCTAGATGTCAAGTGCTGTGCTATAGCTGTATATGTTTAAGCCAGAAGAAATGAAGGAATTGAAGTAACACTACAATTGCAGAAACTTTAAATGAAAATGTAATCTTTCATTTGATCAGGGACCTTACCAAATGAATTCCTAGTTCTCAGATGTTAACATTTTTCGAAAAGTGTAATTTCTTTACATCCACTCACATAACACGGTCTAAAATTGATGCTGATCAAGGTTCTATTACAGACATCTACATGTAGTGTAGAAAATATTTTAAAGGGCACATAGGTTACCCCTTTTTTCATATTTAATATAAGTCTTTTGTGTCCCCAGAATGTGTCTGTAAAGTTTCAGCTCAAAACACCCATCAGATTATTTTTTTTATAGCTGTTTGAAGTATCTGTATTATAGCTGGGAAAAGGTTGTTGCTGTTTTTTTTGCACTGGGCCTTCAAGGCTAGTCCTCCCCGCCCACGTGCCTGTCAGCAACATGCCTTAATAGGCCTTTTTCACACTTCCTGGTTCCGGTAAGCGAAGCAGTGTACCACAACATCCGGTTTCAATGCGACGGAGCAAGAAAGAATGGCAGGGTCATCTCATCGCTGTGATTGCTGCGTTCCCAGCTGCTCCAACTCAAAAACGACACTCTTACTTTAATGACCACGATCTCCCGAAAGACGAAGGACAGGGAAAATCATGGAAGACAATATTAAAGGGGGTTGAATGCCGTTTCAAGTTATATGCGGGAGTACACTCGTATGCTGAATGCACTTCAAAGTGGAGATTATTATGTTTCATTAAAGACTGGTGGTCTATGGTTTTATAATATAGACAAAACTCCAGTTAAGCTATCTGCCTTCCACAAACAAGTGCTCATCATGGTCATTTATCTATAAGCATGATTTATCCCTACATTGTTGATATTTTGGAATAATAGACAGTTCATACAAATGCAAATCTCTTTTTTTTTAATTGATTTGACAGCAAAATTATTTGTTTAGTCAGTTATATAATAAAGATGGTATGCTTTTCTTACAATGAAGTCCTTTATCACAAAATCTCAATAACCCAGCAAGTTTTAAACTGTTATTGGTTCAATTCCTTCAGAGACATGGTATTCATATATGTTATTTAGAGGTATTAATAAGACCATCCTTCTGATGCATCGTCTTTTGATATTACTAAATCTTATGTCGGCAAATTTTGTTTTACTAAATACCAAGATATATAGAGCGATGATAGAGCTATTCATACTCTTTTCAAAAAAGAAATCATTACTGTACCTTATATTCAATTGTATTATATGTCTTTATTAAAGGGTGAATTGAAGAAAAGTGTGGCTGTTACCACAGAAATATCATGTTAGAAATAGAATTAAAGAAATGTCCTATACACTCATCCACAGGTTTTATCCAGCAAAACATTGTTTGCAAAAATTTAAAAGTGGGATTGATGTAAATTGTATTTTTGTAACGAATATGAGGAGACAGTTTTACACTTATTTTGGCATTGTACATAGTCAGCTTATGGGGTGAGTTGCAAAATGTATTAATAACGATTCTTTTGTGTTCAAAACCTCTTTCATTATGGATAAATGTACATTTGGGCTTTACTTGATTATCCTAATCTAGAGGAAAATAGTTTTATTTATTTAATTTGCTTATGTTGTTAACAAAATTGTACATTCATAAATGTAAATTTACTAATATGAAACCAGATTTTAAGGTATTGATGACTGAAATATGCTTGTATAATACCAGTATCAGCTCTCTAAACAAGAAACTCGACCCACTTTAAAATGCGTGAACTCTACAATGTATTTCATTATTACATATGTTATATTACATTTTGTATATTTGTATTTTATTTATAATTACCCCCTGGTATGTACATTTTTGTATTGTAAAATGTTATTTGCTGTTCTTTAAATAAATAATAAAAATGAATATTATCCACGAGTAGGAGCTAACGTGTTTCCAGACTTGAGAAAACCTCACGAGCATTAAACAAACTGTAATGTATTAACCGATAGCAACTCGCCTGTACAGCTGCCTCGCCATTCACTATATCTGACTCTGAATAAATAGGAAGGAGGGGGTTAGCACAGTTTACAGACGGGACTACTGACATAAAACTCATCCTGCTGGATGTTAAATAGCCAGGTTAATCTAGTTTACGAATGGCTTAAATGAGCAGATTTTATCCTGTTGGCTGTGCACCTTACTGGAACCTGACGTGGCAAACGCTGTGTAAGACACGTTTTCTGCACAAACTCTGCAAATCGGTATCATCTTTTAAATGCTGTTTTATTAAGGCAGTTTTACAAATTCACTGAACAACATCTTCCTGTCCAAATAATGTCAAAGTTGACCGTGAGAAAGTCATCCGCTGTCCCGAGGCTGTCATGTCTCTGCCACTCCTAGCGAACCCGGAAATATCGATACACTGCTTCGAAGGGCGCTTCCGGTGTTCAATTCCGCTGTGAAAAAGGTCTATTGCCGCCCTCGGCTGCCTCAGGAAGCAGATCTCACGTAACGTTTGTGAGAAATACTACAGTAAAAACTTACCAATCAGTATTTGATGCATTTTTTTGTGGAGTTGCAACAATGAGTCACACACTTTGTCTTAAAATATTTTAAACTTGTAAAACTAACTCTTGATCACATTTGATGATGGTTGATGATCCTAGCAAACTGAACAGACCTTTTATTCCGGTTGCTTTGCGCTCGTCCTGTCTTGTTGATCAGTGGCGTTGCGAGAGGGGGGGGGCTTTGGGGGCTTAAGCCCCTGATGTATTGTCAAAACCCCCTGATCTCTTGGAATATGTTGCACTTAAATAAAAATATGTTGTAAAACATTGATTTTGTTATCTAAGTACTGAAAATTACCACATACATCACGAACATTCCACTTAACGCAGAGTTTGTGTCGGGTTATTAAATCGTCAGCTGTTCAGCAGTACCTGTTTCTACCGGCAGGTGGGAGTGGCTCTGTTGTCACATGGTGTTAAAAAAATCCCGCCACTGCACTTCATTCATTCATTATTTTGAGGAGCTGAAGCTAAAGAGGTAATAATACAACTCTTTCGCGAAACTGAATAGTTTTAACAACTGATGAAGCTTATTTGTTTCCACAGTATAAAATGTGTGTAGTTTTGATGAAATAAAATAACTATAATCAGTAAAATGTGCATCATATCAATGTAAATACATGCGAGTTAGTCAAAAAA